TGATGTATTTGCTTTTTTTATTTTTGATTAATTTAGCTACTAGTGATGTCTTTTAAAAAAATGAAATACAGGGTTTTGATTAATTAGATCTGATTTTGTGGGTAATGTATGGATTATCTTAAAAATTTGCTTTCTTACACATTTTTAGTTTACTTTATTCTTTATTGTTTAGGAACTAGAACCTTATATGATTTTTATTAAGTTATTCAAGTCTATAGTTTGTTTTAAACATTGCTTTATATGTATCTCATACAGGCCTGCCTATAATGCTTTTATTATCATCATTTCTTACTAGTTCTGTAGTATTTTAATAAATAGAAGGACATTTAAATTATATTGTAGATGAAATCTGTTGTTGGGTAGGTGGAAAGGTTTCCGAAAAAACTTTTGAATGTTGAGAAATTACATTGATAAAAACGGACACTGACCTAACTAGTGATATTCATTATTCCATTTAGGCTGTACAACATCCTTTTGGAGAATTTATTTTCTGATTTTCAGAAGAGGAAACAATGGTTTAGAGAGGTTTAATTTCATTTCCCAAAGGTTGAACCTTGAATAGTTGTTATTGTTTCTATTTGAATCCATTTTGACTCCCAGGCCAGTGGCTTTTACATAAGCAGTAATCTTGTGAGGTCATAGAGGTATTGAGCATTGTGACATAATCAGGCACCCATTAGTTGACACTTGGTGGCATAGTTTTTGACAAGGGCAAACAGTTCATTGCAGTATGGTGGAGAACATGAAGGATCGCAGGTTTACGTGAGGATGGGTGAGTTTATGTACGGATCAGACAGACAGCTAAGTGGGAAGTGTAGGCTATCTTGTAGGAAAGTGACAGAGATCACTTCTGTTTTCAGAACGTTCGTTTTATGCCACTTCACTTTTATGAAAGACCTAGACTGGTACCTGTTTCACTAACCAAAAGAAAGCTGAGAGTTTGGTGTTTGTTTAGCAGCCAGCCATTAAAGAGGCAGTGTATACCTCAGACAGGGAGAGTGGGTCCCCAAGCTGCTTCCCTGGGAACTACCCTCGACATCTCAGCCCCTTGGCTTTGAACTATGTATGAACACTATTTACTCATTTTAATTTAGGTATTATGTATCCTTTGGTAGGTTATTTTTTGATGTTTCAGTATAAATATAAATAAATGGTAATTGTATCTTCTCTTATTTTGAGATACGAGGAAAAACCTGGATCAGGGTCTCTGGTAGTCTGTGGCATGACCTGTGCTGGCAGGTGCATTTGGGTGTCCATAGCATGGAAGCCATAACTTCGATAGTTGTCTGTCCATGTAGAAGACTCGAATATAGGAGGAAATGAAATTTAAGACCGAGTGGAGAAAGAGCCTGGAAAGGAAACTAGAAAAAAATAGTCATAATGTTACAAGAAAATCCAGTGGAGAGTGGACAGACTTTTCTTGCACAGGCTGCTAGAGAAGAATTTCAAGAAAAAGGGAGGGTTGTTAGTATTGTGTGCTGTGGATAACTAAAGAAAAATAAAATCAAGTGGTTAATTTTTAAAATTTAACAATAATTAAAAAGTGTATCTTACATGACAGCCACTATGAAGCAATGAAGATTGAGTTAAAGAAGACAATTGGCAGAGGGCTTATCACTTGTTAAGAAACTTGGTTCTGCAAGGAGTCCCCGTGGAGTGTAGAGTGTGAGGTGTGGCGTGTTCTTCCCTTCCCGCTTGCCGCCTCCTGCCTTT